ATTGTTTTCATACTCCCTTTCTCCTCCCCTAAACATCCCCTTATCTCTGGTGGTTGGTTATTTTCATGGCTGTAGTTCTGGGTTGATCTGAATATCCCTATTGTAGCCTGGTTTGAGCCTTCCACAAATCTTTGCAGGCCAAGTGACAGTCATCCAAACCACACCGTGGCACATTTTTCTGTGGTGTGTTACATTTCTTCTACTGTTTCCTTTGTGTCTTGTGTTGAAAAGGAGTAAGAAACAGATGGGAGAAAAACCAGGCTTTTTTTTTCCCTTTAATGTTCCTGCTTTCATTGTTTTGAATATTTTCATTCAGTAAACCATTAAGAGATTATCTGAGCACAACAGAAAATAATTTTTCTAGTGATAAGTTTGGGCCTGATCCAAATTCACTGGCATTAAAGAAAAGGCTCTTAGTGAATTCCACGGACTTTGAATGAAGGATTAATCCCTCGGTCCTCAGACAGAGAAACTCTTGCCAACTTTAGTAGGAATTCAGTAAGAGCAAGGAATTCAGGCATTTGCATTTTGAAATAATAATAATAATAATAATAATAATAATAATAATAATAATAGCGGATCTCGATTATATCACACATGCTTTTAACCTAAAAACAGACGTTTGAAACTGTAAATCAATTTATTGTCTGAAGGGCAATATAGCACCAGCTCATAAAGTATGTATAGAACTGACTGTATCCTCCTGAACCTGAGGACCTCAGATTGTTTGTTCATAAACTAAAAGAAGTCACTCTAAACATTAATTAAAAGATTAAAAATTAACATAAAATTAAGCTCAAATCATGAGTCGACAAAGGGGAAAATATTGATGTGCCTGGTATGTGTTTAACGTTTCCTTTAGAGTTTTCTTTCCATCTGCTTTCATTTGTAATTATCTAAATCTTATTTTCTCCACCTGAGAAAGCAACCTGGACCTTAGAAGCTCTGAATTTACTCCCCGGAGCTTTTCTCCTCCGCTCTGCCTTCATCCTGCTTTCTGGGAGCTAACAGTGTACAGTACAATAAACAGCATCGCCTGCCCCTATAGAAGGTGGTAACGTGATGCTGTGTGGTCTGGAAAGTCATTTAAACGAGATTATATTGTTCACAGGGTGCAGAATAACCCCGCTAGGAAACCACAAAGAAAACAAAATACGGCCGAATAAAAATCAGCCGAATTTTAGAAGCTCTTCCCAATACCAGCAGGTGTGAGGGGAACCGCACCAGGGAGGAAAGCTCCGCTCGGAAGATGCCATTAGCACATCGCAAACAAACACCTCATCAGCATCGCGGCTGTTTTCCTTGGGACCTTCCCACGGTCCGCATCCGAGCAAGGATGGATTTTTAATTGGTGAAGGAGAGCGAATTTTTTTTTTTTAGTTTTTTTTTTTTTTTTTTTGGGGGGGTGTGTGTGTTTGTTTTTTAGTTTTTGTTTGGATTTTTTTTTCCCCCCTGCTGGGGGCTCCACCCACCGCCTCGGTATTTATTGCTCTACAAATTGTAACTTCCTTCTCCTTGGACTAACGGGCCGGTCGTAAATCAGCGCCGGGGGCTGGACCGGGGAGGAACAGCGGATCCCGGCTCACACCAGCCTTAGAGCCCAATCGTTGAAAAATCTGTGTCTGTAAACTTGATTTCAGGTTAAAGTTACCGAGTGTTAAGAGGGAGGCGCTTTCAAAATTTTGCCCCGTTTTTATTTTCCGCTCTTAAATTTATGTACTACTTAAACAGAAATTACATCGCCATAAAGATCCATATCCGAGTATAAGTATTCCTTCTCCGAGGGTAATCAGTTCAGAGTGCAAGTGCTTTACGTGCTTAGAAGAGCACACGCTGTAAGGGTAAAAACATCTGTCTCAAATACTCACTTTTACCCAATGACTTCCCAGGAGCAGCGCTGGTTTTACGGCTAAGCTGAAAGAAGGCTTAGAAAATACTCCGTTAGCGAGAGGAGGCATAAAGAATAACAGAGACTTCACGTGTTCCATTTAAAATCCCACATTTCGAGCGAATTAGTAGATCATTATCAGCTGTAATTCTAATTTAGTTGCATACGGTCTAGAGCTCATTCTGCACACCCCCCCCACATTAAGTAACAGACTCAAACTGATTATTACTTTGGGGCTACAAGGAGCTTTGGGGCATAATTAAAAATATTTCCAGAAAGACTCGGTAGACCACATCTGACGTCCCACCCCCTGTTCGAATTAGACCACATCAAAGGGACCCTTTTTGTTTTCAAAAATGGTCACCAGACAACTTAAAATATACAAGAGTGGGCTTATGTTTTATTGTATAGATGTCTGACTAGAGCAAAACGACTTAAGGTTGCTCGCTATTCAGGGCTCTACCAAGTGAGACAAGGTAGTTACGGCCCTTTGATATTTCCGTGGAGGTCGTATTCATTTCATTTGAAAGGGGACCATTAATGATAGACCTGTAAGTGTTCCCCTCCCTAATAAGTCAGAATACACATCGCTTGGGAAGCCTGTCTGTGGCAGATGCCCAGGGCGGAAAGATTTGTAGATGATGGTGCTAATTATGAAAATGTGATCAAGATGGAAGCAATTTGAGCAAAAGTCATTAACGTGTTACTCTTCCACCCACTAGTCTTTTTGGTTTATTACTGCGGTGGGGGGGGGGGGGGGGGGGGGGGGGGGGCGGGAGGAGGATCTTGCGGGATTGGTGTGGGTTTTTTTCAGAGCTCTAATGAAAATGCCCTGCAAAACCCGAACTGTAAAATGTCAGCTGCGCATCCACAGGGCGATGCACCAGGCTCGGGACGGACCCGAGATTTACTGGGAAGAGATCGCTATAATTACTGTCAGTAATTATGTTTTATCTCCCCTTCAAGCGGTGCCGGTGAAAGCATCTTTCAGGAGACTCGTGGCACGTTAAGAGTTATTTATTTTTTTTTATTTTTTTTTTTCTGCTACCACTGTTGTCTTGTAGCTCGTCAGAGGTTACGAGTCCCCAGGACACGATTTACGGTGCATCCCCGAGAGGAAGGTTTTCCAGAGACGTTCTTGTTTTAGGAGGGACTAAAGGATTTGGCCCATAAGCAACTTCCCCCCCCCCCCCGCCCCGCTCCAAGATCGGGCTCCTGCATATTTATGGTTTCATGTTTTTACGTGTATACAGTGCTTTAACTATTTTAATTTCCAATCAATATACTGGAACCACTTGACTGCCTGGCAGTGGCATTGTACAACAGCAGCAATAAAGAATTAATTGTACAAACATTTATCATCCCCAGATCAAACTCTCCTTGTGAGGCGGGGGCTTAACTTGTGGAGAAGAAAAGGGGGAGGAAGGGTGGTAATGGCGGAGAGGGTGCTTGTGGGGTTTTTATGTGTTTCCTTTTATTCCAGACGACCATATAATGGAAAGCCTTTTAGCCTTGGAGAACTACTAAATATTAAGCACAGCTTAAACTAGGGAGTCGCTTTCGAGGTAGTTTCGTCCTTCTGCCATTCCTTTTAGGAAAAGGTCGTACCCCTTCCCTTATTTTCCCACTAGTAAAAGCTTCCCCTTTTAGAGAAGTCTTTAACGCGTAAGAAAATCCTCGTGCTCTACATAGGAAGGTCTTTAAGAAAAATTTATAGATCTCTTCATGTTCACCAGTTCCGGAAAAAAAAAAAATTATATTGATCAAGGTCAAACGCTTGAATTCTGACGTGACTCACTTCAAAGGTGTATTTGTGTGCCCTTCAAGCACATTAATACTAATTATCTCTCAAACACTTCCCCAAAACTCCTACTGCCTGTTTCAGATGCAAATCTAATTAACGAGCTGCCTTTGAGGAGCACACAGGGGCAGCGTAATTCACGAAGCTGTTGAACCTTTTGCCTTCTTTTATATTTATTTATAGGTAGCTCCATCCTATTTTGAAAGCGTAGGCAGTTGTGTGAAGCGACATGGTAGCGAGTGCAGATCTGCTCCAGCTAATGAGACTTTCCAGGCACCGGAGTTAAGAAAAAGGATTAGCTCCGACTTCTTGCAAATGCATTTAGGGATGTAAATCATAACACTTGCCGGGCCCTACTTTGTCTAAGTTAATTTAGAAATGATTAAATCTTGAAAGCTCTGTCTAAATAACGCGTATTATTTGTAACCGTGAACTGATTGATTTAGTAATAACTGTTTGCTCTCGGCACCGGGGGCAAAGCGGGTGGGGGGCGCACACACACACACACTTTGAGCAAACCCCGGCGCCTGGGTGAGATCCACGGGGGTGCTCTGCCCCTCCCCGGAGAGCCGGGACCCGCATCCCTTTCCCCGCTCCTCTGCGCACTTCCAAAAGCCACCTCCTGAAGATGTTTTCCTTCGAGCATCAGCCCCCCCCTCCTCCCCGGCCGCGGGGGCTGCGCGGGGGGTGGCGGAGCTCGGCGGAGGGTCCGCGGCTGCTCCGCGGCTCCCGGCGGGGCGGGCGGCCCCCGTGCGGGGGTGTGCGGTGTGTGGGGTGGCGGGAGAGGGATGCTGTGTAATTTTATCCACGCTGCACTCTGGGAGTTCACACGAGACTGATACCTTTTGCCTCCTCTGCTCTGTATCAATTGGTCGCAGATCAGGCTATTGTTGCAGGAAGCTGCTTTTATTTCTATGCTCCGTCGATCAACTATTTTCCCCCGCAGTCTCTTGCAGAAATTCAGCGGCTCTCTCCCTCCCTCCCTCCTTCCTCCTGCCTGTCTCTCACGCATGCCGTCTGTCTATCTGGAAACCCAAGGAGAAGGCTGATCACGGCAGCTCCATCTAATACAAACAGCTGGGACTCTTCGGTGGCCTTTGCTGATGTCTATTGATTTAAGTAAATCTGAGACAGATAAAAGGGCCGGATCGAGGCTTGATAAAATCTTGCCAATGCTGCACGGCTCGAAACAGAGTGTGCTCGGCAACTGCGGAGTGCTGCGAGCAGGACGGCTTTGATGGGACCCCTGGTGCCACTCGCTGCGAGCCTCGCTCTCCCCAGCAGACCAAGCGCTGCGGCCACCATGCCACAATGGTCATAACTTGGATCTTGTTCCTGAGTTTGTTGCAGGAGCCGTGGTGCCCGGGGCGGGCCTCGGGGGTGCCCGGAGCCTCCCCGAGTGCCCCCCGGCCGCGCCGGGATGCGGGGGGTCGCGGCGGCGTCTACGAGCACCTCGGGGGAGCGCCCCGGCGCAGGAAGCTCTACTGTGCCACCAAGTACCACCTCCAGATCCACCCCAGCGGCAGGATCAACGGCACCCTGGAGAAGAACAGCGCCTTCAGTGAGTACCGGGCGCGCCTTCGCCCGTCCCGCGTCCCCCCGGGCCGGGCTGGGCGGGGAGGGGTGTCCCTGGAGGCCCCGGCGGGCAGCGGGCGCTGGACGGGGCGGACGGGGCGGTGGCGGAGCCGCTCCCACCTCCGCTCCTGCCCCGCGCTGTCCAGGGGAACGGGGGCACCTCCAGCTGTCGGAGCTTTTCGCCCCCTCCCCTCGTCGGGCTGGGCGAGACCTCGCCCCGGCGTTTCGGGAGCCCGCAGCTCCATTCCCGCTGCCTCGCACCCTCCGGCTCCCGAGGGTCTGTCCCTCGGGAACTGGCAGCACCCTCTGCCCCCGAACTGGGCGGGGGACCCCCGAGCCGGCCCTGAGGGGTGCGGGGACACGACCGGCGGCGGAGGGTCTCAGTCCCCCCGGGGCAGAGCGGGACCCCCAATGCCGAGGTTCCCCCGACGGGGACCGGGACGGCGCAGCCCGCCCGACCTGTCACTTGCCCTCCTTGCGCCGGGAGCTTCCCACGCCAGCTCTGCCCCAGCCCGGAGCGCTGGGCAGCCCAGCCCGTGCCCTCGCACCTCCCCGGGACACAGTCCCCGGACCTTTCCGACGCGCGGTGGGCTGCCCACGCCTCCCCCATCCCATCCTGGCTCCCGCGGGGGGCTTGAGCTTCCACCGGCTACATCACATCTGCCCCCTTTGACATGTGCCGGGGATCGGCGGTAATTGAGATGAAAGGGGATACGTCGGGAGCGAGGGGGTTTGTGCGAGGGCGGCCGGAGGGAGGAGAGCGGGGCTCGGCACCGCCGCTGCCCCGGGGGGAGCCCCGGGCGCCCCCGCACCCAGCCCGGCCCCTGCCCCGGCCCCGCAGCCCCAGGAAGCGTAAATCCCGCCTGGCGATGGCACACAGAGATAGGGAGACCTCAGGGATCTGTCTGAAGTCCATAAAGGAAAACCACTATTTCCTAGAGAAACCCCCCCTCGCTGTCAAAGCCCGGGGGAGGCTCCTGCAGCAGCAAACCGGTGCCTGATTCAAAACAGCTGCACCAAAGCCAGCCCAGCCCTCCCAGGCCAGCAATCCAGCTCTGCAAAGGGGACAGGCCCCTGGCCCTGCCTTGAGCATTGCCCAAGGGTTCGGGTGCAGGGGTCACCTCTTGCCTCCAAACACTCGTAGGAAGTACTGAGCCATCAGGTCGTGGCTGGAGAACTGAGAGCAGGGTTTGAGTGAGCCAGCTGGAGAGAGCCATGAACATACAACATCTTTGGAGCCATTTGTGCCTCCAGCAGTGTCCTGGCACCTTTGGCTGGACATAAACATCATGGCAGGTAGTGCAGCAGCCTTGCCTGTGACACTTGCTGTGCTGGAGATCCCATCTTTGATGGCCTGAAAACCTCCTCCCTTTTAATTTGTCTCAGACAGTCATACAGTTCTTTTCTGGAGGGCTACACTGACCTCTTAAGTGACAAGTTCCTTTCATGATTATGTACATGGCTCTAAAATACAGCTGACTCACTCTGTTTTACCCTCTGGAGACCTCAGCAAGGGCTTTGTCCTGAAACGGGGCAGCTTTGTGACTGGTTTCAGTAAGTCAAGAGCTCTTGTGTTCCTAGGCATTGAAGAGGACTTAAACTTTTTTTATATACATATGGGATTAAGTGAGCCTCTAGCTCAGTGTCAGATCTTTTTCATTTTTGATGGAGTTCAATCTCAATCAGACATCTGAGGATTTACTGTCCACCTTGTCTCAAACAATTCCCGCGCCATCGCTGCTTTCCGCTGTTTCAAAATAACAGTAATTTCATTCCCGTGATTGCACTGGGATTTTGATGTGAGCTAGGGAGAACTGTGAAATCATACTCTGCAGGTAAGCAGTCATGCAGGTGTATCTGAAAAAAAAATGACACCTGAGCAATAACATATCTCCTAACTGTTTCTGTTTCTAGGTATTCTGGAAATAACCGCTGTGGATGTTGGAATCGTTGCCATCAAGGGCTTGTTCTCCGGCAGATACCTGGCCATGAACAAAAGGGGCAGACTTTATGCATCAGTAAGTTTTACTCAAGTCTGGCATATGCCTGTCATTTCCTCTGGGGAGCACTGATTTCTCATAAATAAGCATTTCTAGAGAAAAGAGTAACATTATGATGGGTTTTTGTCCGGAATTGTTGCAGGCGACTAACCAATCAGCATATTCTTAAAAGAATTAAAAGAAGATGTGGTTTTACTTTCTTACTGCCTGTAAAGCCAAAGGTACATGGAATGTAATTCCTTGTACTTCCAAAGAATGTATTGGCAAAGATATTTCACATGGCCAAAGTTCTGGGCACTTGGGTGCACTGATAAAGACTTTGTGAGCCAACTCTTGCAGTGCAGAACATCCACCCCTGTTCAGAATTGTCTCTGCTGATATTTGATGTGGATCTTGGACACTGGCAGAGGATATACATGTCAGGTAAAGAATATCCAGGAGTAACTGAGCATTTATGTTCCAGGAAAGCAGCCTCCTGCTGGGGGTTTCTTTGCACAGAGCACTTGGTTGAGCAGTGAAAGGATTTAAGGGTACTAAAAGGCAGGGCTATAGCTACTAAAAGGAAGCACAAGAAGGTGCAAGAAGATAAAGGTGAAAATAAACACCTTATTTTACTCCTTTGACCTAATTTTGAGCCCTGATCTGTGAGATAAAATATGGGTTGTGATGATATTAGTGTCTTTTCAGCCTAGACAATATTCCCCCTCAGTGAACAAAACACTCCAGCTTAGACTTCTTCACAAACTAATGCCCGTTTGTCAGTGTGTACTATACACATTATCCACCTACTTGGGTTTCATCCATTGTCTTTGATTACATCCCAAGCAATCTTGTGTTCTCTTAACTGCATAACAGCCACACTGTGCAGTGTCTCCAGGAATGCTGGGATATGGAAGCAGATTAGAAGGTGGCAAATGTGACTTGAGTGAGATTTGCTTCCTTTAACTAGACGTTAGATGTAATTCTGCTGATTTGAACAGCGTCCCTGAGCAGTGTGAGCTTTTCCCTTGTGAAAGCAGCTCAGGTAATACAATCAACTCTGTTTTCTCCCCAGTTTAACACATTTTACTCCACCCTTTTCAAGAAAGTTCTGGCAGTGTTTACAACCCATCTTCTGTAATGTGTCTCACGTGATGCTCACTGATAAAGGGGCCTGTGTGCAAAGATGATGGTTCTTTGCTGGTGGAGAGAAGCAGATCACAAACAATTTTGGCAATGGAAAATGCAAACAGAGAGGAATGAGGACATAGCAGCTCTGCTGTGCCACTTCTGTGATTCTGTGCCACTTCTGATTAAAATGGGCATCTTTTCAATGGAGCTCCTCCATCAGTTCAGAGCCAGCATCTGTCTCAAAGAAATTATTGGGAAGGATGATTTTTTTCAAGGTCTTTCTCAGCTTTCTCTCTTTCTTCTTCAAAATAGGTGTATTTTTTCCCTTCAGATTAATTATACTGAATTAAAATAGGACTAAACAAATTCTGAGCAAAAAGCTTCTCTCCTGAAGTGGAGAAAAGCCTAGAACAGGATGGCTCTGAGACTCCTTTTCTCCCTTTCTAGTTTAAGGAGCATCAGGCCATCCTGAAGTTTCTTCAGCCAAAGAGTATCAACTGTGGAAGGTTTCTGTATAACTAGGAAAGAAAATTTTTGCTCTTCCAGCTGTAGTTTGAGAGAGACTGTTTCAGACTTGTGTTTCAGAGCTGCAGGGACAATCCAGGAAAAGCTTTTTTGCTCCAGCTTTTTTTCACAGAAGCAGCGTGGGGTGAGGGCTCAGCTCAGGGGAAACTCCCTGTCTTTACTTGCCTAGAGAAAACTGTCCAACAACTTTACTGATATCGCTGGTCCAAGACCCTGTGCCAGGCCCCTGCTTTGAATAAGACTCACTAATTCAGGGATAATTATACAGGGAGTGTTTTATCAAGTAGTATTGGAATAACCCTGTTATCCCTTGCTTCACCAATTTTCCCGTGTCAATGAAACGAGTTTGTTGGGTCTGCAGAATTCCTTTGTGTCCTTGGCAGATCGTGATAATCCTGTAGATTTATCCTCTGTGATAAAACCCTCTGCAACCAGAAGGGGGGGAGACAGCAGGACAAATCCACTTCCATCTGGTGGCTGTGTGGGCTCCAGCACCACAGCACATGAAAACCTTGTCCCTGCAAGGAAAGGCGCTTCCGTTCTACAGCTGGGAAGCTGAGACATGTGGAGCCTTTTAAAATCTTGTTAAACGCCCAGCAGCATCTCTGGTGAGTGAACAGCATCAGAGACATGTTGTCAGTGGGGTCTATGGCTTTTCTGGCCCCAGCCTGGCTACCTGTGCCTTTTCCATGTCCTCCAGGGAAGCAGTGCAAAATAAAATACCTCTGTAAAGACCACGGTAACAGTTCCCTTCTGCCTCTGTGCTTCACACAGGTTAGATACCGAAATCTTAATCACACAGGTACAGCAAAGATGGTCTTGCAGTTAAGAAAAGATGTACAGTGTGGGAGGTCCTCTGTGCTGCTCCCGGGGAGGAAGAAGGAAGGAGTTCCTCGTGCCAGGCTCTTGCACAGTTTTCTTTCCGTTAAGGGCCAGATGAAAAGGGGCAAATTTGGACAGATCATGTGGGCATCTGGGATGGGTGTATGTTCTCCCTTGCAGTTTATGATAGAGGAGCAGCCTGGAATTTTGGAGGAACGTGCTGGTGGGCAGACAGTGCTTTCATTTTGTTATGCTGAAGCAAAGAAGCTCCATGAATCTGTGGTTTACTGCTCAAATATCCAAAGTAAACTGGATGTAACAGACATGCACGTGTATCTAATGCCTAATATACCAATGGAAGAGCCACATTTTATATTAAGCTGTAGCATTTTACCTTTTTGATAGAAGGCAAAGGTTGATAGGCAGCAATGAAATCACCTGGTCACAGCAGCATTAAATTCATAAGCACGCACATGAAAAAAATTGCAGCTGAACAATCAGCTGCTTGCAGTTCATTCCTATTCATATGTCATTTTTTTTTTTGGTTTCAGTGTGGTTTTGGGCCTCTGCCTGTCTCTGATCCACAGAGTGTGCCCACACTGCTGATGGGGAGCACCTTGTACCAGGGAGCTTCTCTCGCGCTCGCCTTTCGCACCACCGGCCTGAGGTTTTCTCACCAGACTGTCCTGATCCTAAACACTGAGTAGGGTCTTGCCTAAGATTTTGTCATCTTTTTTTCGTCCGCAGGAAAACTACAACTCGGAGTGCGAGTTTGTGGAGAGGATCCACGAGCTGGGGTACAACACCTACGCGTCCCGTCTCTACCGGACCGTGCCCAACAGGGCCGGCACCAAGCGCAAAGCCGGCGCCGAGAGACTCTGGTACGTCTCCGTCAACGGCAAAGGGCGACCCAGGAGGGGCTTTAAAACCCGCAGGACACAGAAATCCTCCCTCTTTCTGCCCAGAGTACTGGACAACAAAGACCATGAGATGGTCCGACTGTTCCACACCAACGTGAAGTACCGGGAGAGCCTCCTGAGGGCCCCGAGCAAGAACCGGCGGAGGAGGAGAGGACACTGATGGGGTGGGGGGGGAGAGCTCGTGCTGGGGATGGAAGTGACTGAGAGTCTTCAAAACACTGCTAAAAGAACTAACAGCTGTGATGGTACGACAGGCGTTAACACGGACAGTTTTTATTACACTGCGTGATTAGAACTGAAAATCACATCCCTTACTTTTAGTCGTTGTAGGATTAGCACCCGTGGTAAAAGAGATGTGAGGTGAACTGAGGCACGTTCAAATGTAAATTAGTTGGATGTAATAATTTTGTCAATGGCTTTCACATTTTCTTTTCTAAAAAAAAAAAAAAAAAAATTATATATATATATATATATATATGACTTTCATTTCAAGTATTTTCATTCCAACTTGCCACAGGTGCTCAGTGGTCCTGTCCTTCCAGAGCATGGGAGTATTTTACACCTGCCAAATTTGTGTCCACAGAGAAGGTATAGCACTTTCAGGGCTCTTTTGGCCAGAAGAAGCTACATCCTTACTTTTATTTAATACAGGAGTTAGAAAACCGACAGGTTTTTTTTTAACTTACGTGTATTTATTTTTATTTTATGATCAGCCTTTATCAATTACACTTTTTCCAAGACTGTCCAAGAAAAGTAAGCCTGTAAGCTCCTTCAAACATTGCAACAGAGCTACACATTACTAGATTACTCTTGAATTTGTTTAATTAAAACCCCAAGACGCCTGACCGTGTCATTCAAATGAATGAATGTTGGTAAAATGGCATTTGCATTGGCCCAGGTTTAGCAATATAAAGCTGTTTACCAGTTGCTGGATCCTCTCTTGAAACACAACTCAAATGTGATGTGAAAGAGAGTAGGTTTGGGTTGGATATTAGGAAAGAGTTCTTCCCTGTGAGGGTGGGGAGGCCCTGGCACAGGTTGCCCAGAGAAGCTGTGGCTGCCCCATCCCTGGGAGTGTCCAAGGCCAGGTTGGACGGGGCTTGGAGCAACCTGGGCTAGTGGTTGCTTCCAACCCAAACCATTCCACGATTCTATGACTTTTCTACTGTGATTCTGGAAGTTGAGAGGAGTCCACATCACAGATTCAGTTTTGAACAGGGAGTTAAGCTTTAAAAATTTCTCTTGACAGCCAGGAGATGACATTGTAGTGCAAAGATTTAGATTCAACCTGAATTTAACAAAAGAGCTGTAAGTTAAATTTGACATTATGTAGAAACAGGTGCAAATCCCATTTCTGGTCATACTGAGACAAAGGTCTTCCTGTGGGCTGCTATTGAATGAGCTCATTTAAATATGCTCCTTTAAAATTAGGCAGTGAGAATTTTCCATTCATTAAGAGGTGAAATCTGTGAGAGAGAGCAGTAAGATGAGTCCACAGGCATTGACTAAGCCTAGTGGTTATAGGTTTAGCACTAGTTACATCCCTATAAAGGTAAATCCAGAAAGGGGCCTTTATACCAAATAGTATCTCATTTCTTCCACCCTTGTATCCTTTCTGTAATATTCTAACAAAGAAGGAAACTATGTTTGAATAAGACAGTCAAAAGTTCCTTGGTCTCTGTTCTCCTTTATACTGAAATGATGTAAAGAGAACACTTAAATGATGTACATTAAATAATGGTGCACACAGAATAGACCCAGGTTTAAAGAAGGGTAGAGAAAACCACGAACCGTGTTCCCAAATTTTCTTGCTTTTACAAACTAGCTGAAAATAGTGATGGGATAGTCACAGAAGTAATCAGGCAGTATCCTGGCAGGAGCCACTGTAAAAGCTGTGCAAAGAGGAAACGTTGAGACTGAAAAAGAAACAGAACTGAGATTTTCTACCGTAGGGCTCAAGGAACCTTCTGAAAGTTGGTCATGTCAGCGAAGAAAATTAAGTTTTGGGGACACATTGTTGACTCTCTCAGCTCCCTGTTTCACTTCCCACTAGTGGTAGGGGCTGACTGGGCAGGAGAGAGAGGGAGGCAGGGGGTCCTCACAGCTCTCAAGCTTCAAGAACAAAATGCAAGGGAAGGAAAGTGTCAGTAAACCCAGCTAGCAGGGAAAGATCACAAAGAGCTGAAGATTAAGAGAGATGGTTCCCCCCATGCCTAATTTCTAAATAAATAAATCAAATCAATTAGTAAAAAATATTTATTTTGGCCACTTTCAGATCTGCTTCACCTCAGCTTGTAAAAGAAGCAACATCCATTCTCAGCTTCCTCTCCCCTAAAATTGTTGTAAAGTTGATGACCAGTGACTGCTTCAGATATTTTTGATACAGCTCTGACTGTCCAAGGAAAGTGAACAAACTCCTGTTTCCCATGACACAAAGATGCATCTTCACCCCAGCTCCAAGTCCCATTGCCCATCAAACATTTACTCTTCACTCTCAGCTTTTCTCAAGGGCAAGTATTTGTGCTGGCTGTATCCCTTGCTTTTCTGCCTCTGTTTTTATCACATTTTCCTCTCATTCTTCCCTCCTTCTGCCTCTCTTTTACAGATGGTCCAACTATCTACCATAGAGCAACAGCAGGTAATTGCTGTAGGTGATACAGGAATATCATTAATTACATTTTTGAGCTGTATTGCATTGTTTCAACCACTTTGCCAAAGGAAATTGCAAGGAAGTTTAACTTAACACATGAACTACATCCTTATTTCACTGTTAGTTTTCATCCCAACAAAGTCTAAAATACTAACACTGTAAAAGACAGAAAAAAAAAAGGAGGGGGGAGACAAAAGAAAAAAGTAACCAACTGATTGGACACAATGGCATTTTAACTACTGTAAGTAAGTGATGATTTTCACATCAACCTAAAACAATTTCACCCACATTCTTAGAATTTTTCTTTGCTCGGTCTCATTGCAGCAATTCAAAGGAGATGGCTTTGGGATTTGTCTTTTTTTTATCTTTTCAGAAATATTAATGTTCTTGTTGAAATGCTTTTCATTACAGACATTCATTACTTAATATTCTTTTAGCAACCTTGAATTCCACAGTTCCCAGACACTGACAGGCTGAAATCCTGTTCATGATAATGATCCTAGTTGTATTCTATATCCCATTTTATTTATTTGGACCAGAATCCTGTGGGAATCCTTACAAGAGGAAGTAGATTTGAGTTATTTTCTCCTTAGGATTAAAACATCAAGACGTGTCTCCTGAGTGACTTTTTACCTTTCCATCACATGGGCCACGATCAGACTTTTTGTCTTTTATTTTTTTGAGGAAGATGTAAACTTTACTCCTTTTTGGGTTGTAGAGTTTCTGCAAACTTCAGAAGTTCATTGACATCCTCAAACCCAGAAAGCTGGGGTCATAGAAAGGGTTATTCAGGGAAGCCAAACCTGGTGAAGAGCTCATCTGCTGCAGCCTTTAGGTTAGATACCAGGTCAATTTTCAGCTGTTTTGGGGTTCAGAATCCATTTCAGGGCCACCATCCTGTGGTTACATCTGTTCTGTATGAATTGTACAAATTCTACAAATATCGCGTTACTTTCCCAGCCTTGGAAAACCGACACATTACTTGGACTGGACTTGAATGTCATTGTCTTCCATGGGCATGAGGCAGAGAAAGTGCATCAGGGGGCTTTGGCAAAGTTTTCATTTTCTTACTTCAAAACACAGAGCCTGGTCTGTGACTTCTTGATTTATATCTGAAGCAGATTTTTTTTTTTTAGCTCCTTTAATCCTTTCTTTATCCCATCATAGCTCCGTTCAACAACTTCATGTGAAATAGTCTGGTCTTTGGTGATTATGTTATTAATTTTGTGGTTGTGTGTTCACAGAAAGCAAGAGTTGTGCATGAAACACAAATAGCTCCCCTGAAGTTACAAGAAAGGAATTGTTTCCGAATTTGCTCACACATTTTTCTCCACTTTCTAAGCACGGATTTTCCTTCTCTTTGAGCATCATTAATTTACCATCCTGAGATGGTATTTTAGTAATTTTGAGGGATTTCTGTCTCTTTGTTTCACCACTTGCTAGAGGTCTGATATTGGTTTCTACAAGCCCTGCTCCTGTTGCCTGTTTGCTTCAGCAAGAGCAGCAGTGCACCCCATTTGTATTTGGAAACTGCCTCACATTTATTCCCTCAACATTTAGGAGAGAGAGAGACTGGTGACATTTCTCAAGGTAACCTTATTTCATTACAAAGAATGTATGAAATCTGTTTTTCTCAGTCACCACAAGCATGAAAACAATGCTAGAGGGGATGTTTTGTTCATACTTCTTCATGGCACCAGCTATCCCCAAACCCTCTCCCTTTCGAGTGCTTTCCTTGGATTTCCTGCTTTGCTTCCTGATGTTTCCACTTTCTTCCCTGCTTTTCTTCACAGATGGAAAACAACAGGCAGAGAAATCCTTTTGACCACACGTGCCTCTCCTTTGGATGGTTGCATGGACCTGGTTTTGGAGAGGGGCTGGTACTAGTTCAACTATTTAGTTGAAAAGGCTTAACTGTTTCTTATAATTGTCTGCCTGGAGGATGTGGTTACACCCTCAGCTTTCAGAAGGTTTACTCCCATCCAGAACAGCTCAGGCTGACAAAAAGCTGTTACAACACACTGATATTCATCGTTCATCAAATCAGATATTCGATTCACGACCTCATCTGGAAATATGAACTCAGAGGAGCAGACAAGGAAATATATTAAAGTTGTAGCCAGGCAGGGCAATATGAGATATCAAAGAACAAAGCCATTGAAAAGGCTCTGAGTTATAGCAAAATTCTTCCCCCTGAGCACCCTGCCACCACTGAGCATCTCCCTCTCACACCTAAACAATAACCCCAAAAAATAAAGCTGTTAACCATGGCAATGAAAGCTTTGCATCTTAGTGTTTATTTGTATTTGATACAAAGGATAAGATTCTTCATGCTTACATGCCCAGAGTTATATGGAATTTTCCTCTGAAAAAATGTAGAATCAATAACCTTAAAAATGAAGAATCCTCTTTCTGGCCTCAAAAACTGAGGGAGAACATTAAAAGAGAGTGGTTTGCAATGTACCTCTCTGAAAATATGTAAAGACAAATTAAAGCCAAACCTTTCAAAG